AAAAATGGAACGATAAAACACGTGTACAACATCTGACACAATCGGATAACTACCTCCAACCGACCAAACATTTTCTTTGTTTTTTTTTCTTGTATTTAATAATTTGTATTAATTAATGTTTTGATTAAAAGTTAAAACATTTCTCATGCTTTATTATATAAAGGAAATGACTTGAGAAGACAAGTTCAAAATATTGCCAATTAAACATTAATTTAAATAATATCAATACTGACTTTATCGTTTAATTTAATTAATTTATATAATTATATTTAAAAATTAATTTTTTAATTTTTAATATTTATAATATTTTATTTTAAAATTATAATTTTTTTACCATAAATGACATGCATATTAAATAAAATTTTGAAAATTATCAATTCAAACGAAATTTAAGCTTGTAATATCAATTGAATTAAAGTGTTAAAAAACAAATAAAATCCTTTAATATTAATAAATTAAAATGGTCGGCTGTGGGCCATAGAGATCCAATGACAATTCCTATGCATTGACTGTATTTCCATAAATGGTATCGAGGTTTCATAAAATCCATCCAACGTGACATGCACGCTACCGGCCATTAAGTCAACGTTTATGAAATTAGACATAATTTTTATATATTTATTGTTATCATTAATTGAAAATAACAAGAAAGGGAGAACGGACCAAATTGTAGTAAGACTATTATAATTAATGTAAATATTTTTTTATAAAATTAAAATCATTTTTTGTTTTAACAAAACCCTTATTATTCATTAAAGCCCAAAAGAGCAAAAAAAAATTGAAGTGGCTGCGTAAAAAGCGAGATAAGTGCCACAATGAAAGACAGGTATCCAATAGAAGACAAGATTCCCACGCTGAAGGAGGGCCCTTTTTTCTTCTTTTTTTTTTATAATAAAAAGTTTTATATACTATGTAATAGCAAAAAATAAAATTCCTGGCCAAAAAACCAAAAAAATAAAAGGGTAAGTCTCAATTTAATTTGGAAAATAGAATGGTCCTGATATTTAAATAAATATTCCTTCTACAATTAGTATTAATTTGGATATAATTGATTTAATTAAGAATTAAGTAATACTAATATGATGAAAGGTAGACATCCCATCAAATTCAGTAATTCCAGTAATATGTCAGCAATTGTGCAAAATTCAGTAACACGATCAATCATATGGTGAGTAGAAGACGGTTATAACTGACTTATGAATCAAAATCAACTAAATTCGGTTTATTTGGTCTCGATAATAATCATTTAAGGAAGTGGTTTAATTAGCTAATTTGATTTTTTTTTTGTGTTTAAAATTAATAATCAAACTTATTGAATTAACCAACTCTTGTGCAAAATTCATCAAATAGCATTCCAACTGTTTCATATATAGCAGTCCGATGTTCCATTTTTTTTATCAAATTGACGAACCAATCAATTATTTTTATTTAATTACTTTCGATTATTAAAATAAATTGATTGATTTTAATAATTTTTTAAAAAAAATCTATTAATTTAATTTTTTATTTTTTAAGATTCAATGATCAAATCGACCGACTGCTTATTTCTAACATATACCCATGACCATATCAAAAAACACAGAAGAAAAAAGTGTAAAGGAACGAGGAAAATTAAAAGGCAAGCAAGGAAAGAACCTGATAGTGTAAGCAGAAGCAGGACGAGACGGAGAGGCGGTGGCGTTGAAGAGGGTTGGTTGAGGAGAGGAGGTGCGGTTAAGAAGTCGCTTCCCCAAACTGGCGATCCCTCCACCACTCTTCCAATTGGCTGCCATACAAATGCCAAAAAACCAAATACAAAAAACAGGGAGACGAAAAGAAAACAAATTTGATGCTGGACGAATAGATTTTCCCACTATTCAAACAATGGGAGTGGATGCTGTTTATATAGACAGAGAAGCATCATGCCGATGCCAGCCACACTCCATCCCCTCTTAACCGTCTAACACCCCGCTAACCAACGAACCGTTTTCTTTCACTCAACCGTTATCACGGAAATTAACACGTACTAGCATTAATTTTTTAAATAATGGAGTACAACAAAATTATATATAAAACTCATCTACAATTAATTAATTATAAGTGACGGAATTCATAATATTCATAATTATGAAGGGATAATTATAAATTTTAAAAAATTATTATATTAATACATATTATTAAAAAATTATCTCATTGAAATTTTAAAATTTCACCATTAATATTAGAAATTGTAGCTTTCACCTAAATATAATTATGCCATTTATTAGCTCAGTTTATTAAAAATTTTCATTTATTATTGAAGTATATATACAATGTATTTATTAGGGATTTTTTAGGCATCTAAAAAGTAAAATGCTTTAAATAGTTATTATTCTCCATTTAAGATGGAATATTCTGGTAGGGCCGTTAGTTCGGTGTTACTTGACGGTGTTGGTCGTTGGTTAAAAGAAACGGTGTTTATTGAAATGACGTTTTTGTCCTTTATGGTGGAGAATTTTGTACTTTGGCCGGTACGGTTTTTTAATATGCCCCCAATGGAACATAGGCATTGGTGGAATATTCGTGAAAATGTGGTAAAGCTATTTCGTGAAGATTTGGTTGAAGCGCTTTCATTTTCCTCTTGCTTTACTTTTGAATTTAAATTTTAAAGCAGCTTAGTAATTTAGAATAATACTCAAAAATAAAATTTACCTTCAATCTTTTTATTACGTGAAATTAAGGTTATAACTTCTTATTTTTTATAACTAAAATCTTGACAGAAATATTTTATATTTGTTAAAATTTTTTGCTGAATTATGCAATTTATAAAAAATATTTATTTGAATTTTTTGAATGAATTTTACAATAAATATTTGAGAAAAATAATCTTATTATTAACTTGAATTAAATTTTATTAATTTATTTTTAATTTTTAATAACTATAATTACAATGAAAAAAAAATTTATAATCTTAATTTTATATAATAAAATATCAACGTTATATTTTCATTATTAATAAAAATTTGAGGATTTACTTGATAATTTTTTCAATAATTTTATGTGAAAATAAAATTACATTTCTTTAATCAATTTGTAAGATATATTTGAAAATACTTCAATTTTTATATATTTTATTAAAATTCTAATATTAATATTTAATTAATTTTATATTTAAAATAAATTAAAAATTAATATAGAATACAAAAAAATAGGAGTTATGAGTACTAAAACAAGAAAGATAAAATAAAAAATGAGCATTCATGAATGAAGAACGTATTGAGATATTAAATTTGAGTAATTTTATTTTTATCTATATTAACAAATTCAAACATAGATTTTTTTTTTTTTACTTCTAATCATAATCATGGATCATATATAAACTGATGAAAATTTTAAACTTTATAAATAAATTAAATTATTTATATATATATATCTATTTAATTAGCATGTTAATTTATTAATACATGTTAATTTTTTAATTTCATTTATTGAGTTTAAAACTCCGTCAGAGGTGAATAAGATAACAATCATCAAGTTACAATTATTTGAAACAATTTCATATTTTATTAAAAAAAAAAAAAAAAGGCAAACGCGTTCCAAACCGCGTAGGTGGGTTCTTCTATTCTCTGAAAGCTACCTCAATATCCTAAGAATTTATTCCCTTCTTTTTTTTTTTTTTTAATATCTAAAACTTTTAAAACCAATTGACTTTTAAAAGGGCATTTTTTATATTTAGATATGCCCTAGTTCATTTTCAACCGTCCAAACTCATTACCATTCAATTATTTAGGAAAGAATTATTTTTTTATTATATGAAAAAATACTATATTTATATGATTTTTTACTAATTATATTTGAACAATTAAAAAAATTATAATTGTTTAATATCTGTAATTAATTCCTGAATTAATTCAAAATTCATTTATTTTTTATATAATTTATTTGTTTTTTATGTTTTCAGAATTTCTATAAAAGCCAAAAAATAAATTGTAGCATCCTTTTCATAGGCATGCAAGTTGAGATAAATTTTTGGAGTCAACAAACCTTGTGATGTAGTATTAAATAGTGACCTGTTTATTGTTATATGCAAAATACGAGAGGATGCAACAAAACCAATTAAAATAAGCAAGAGATTGATGATAGCTGAGCTCCAATCTAATGTCATACTGAAAATTATTCTAAGAATTTAAAATATCGTTATGAGAGTCCAAAATTATCTTTGAACTTTATTTTGAAATAATTAACGTATACTTAAATTAAATTTAAAATTTAATTTAATTAATTAATACAATTATTTTTAAAAAATAATATTTAACGAATCTAAATTTCAATTTCAATTCTTATAATCATTTTCTTTATTCATAAATTATGATTTTTTTCGTATCAAACTTGTAGTCAAAAAATCATTTGTTTTAATGAGATTATATATAAAATTATAACTGAACAATCTTTGATTTATACATTTATCTATTACTAGAAATCAATGAACAAGTCAAACAAGTAAATTAGCATGCTAGTGTATAGCTTAACCGAATTTAATATGAAATTCGTTAAAATAATTATAAAAAAAGCTCTTAAATTTTATAATTTTATATAAGTAAATGAATCTTTCACTTTTAATTTGCATTCAAGTAAATCTTTAGACTTTAATTTATACAATAAACCCCTAACATAATCTATTATTTTATTTGAAATAAGAATTTATTTGAATACAAATTAAAATATAAAAATTTATTTTAAAAAATAAAACAATTTAAAATTTTTTAATATTTTAGCCTATGATAATCAGATGCCGGCACGTACACACGCGTTAAGCACGTGATTAGAATTTCCCTAGGGTGATCACTGACATCAAATAGCCACCTTGTTTTCCCTATTCATCAATTGAAGTTGAATGATTCATTATTTCTGTCGTTAGATCAATTTTAACAAATCAATCATCAGACAAGTCTTTAAATCACAGATAAACAACCTGCTGGAAATAGAAAAAAGAAAGGGAAGCCCATTCGTGGCATGATCCTAGCAATTTGGAACCACAAATGTATATAATTTGAAATATGAAATCAAAACCACCTTTCAAGTTTCATACTGAATGTAGAAAGTAAAATCCACAACAACAGAATCGATGTCAAGGTGTCATAAGAAGAAGCAAATGCAATCATTGACAACAACTTCCCTAGACAATCCGCTCCAACTCCCTTGCATAACTAAGAGTTTGATTGATCAATTGAAGTGATGGAATCTCCTTACTCGGCGCAGATTCTTTTGCCTTCTGGAAAAAGACAAATCCCTTCTTCACCTCCCACTCAGGATGCTCCTGCAATCAAGGGAACAGGTCCAAGTAAGCTTGGTATGCCAAAGCCTTTGACAGTTCTTTTTAATGGCTGATATAGAAATGCTTACCTCTTTGATGTATTCCAAAAGCTCTTGATCAGATGAGAAAAGCAACATCTGTCGGGCATCATTAATTGAAAGATAGTCGTATGCCTTCTCACTGCATCCAGCTATTTCATCTCTGAAAGCAACAAGTTATGAATAAACTAATGAGCATTAAGCAATGAACAAGAATACATGATAGAGCAGATTCTATCACTTAAAAGAAGCATAAGAACATGGAAGTGCCACCAGCTAGAAACTCCCAGGTCGTCAAAACAGGTAGTACCATTAACACTGATGTAATAAAGTCATTAAATGATTTTTGGTTCAACAATACTTGTGGACACAACCAAAATTTAAATGATAGTTTGCCATGTTTTGAATTTCCTATCCCCCAAACTGTCATCATACATCAAAGACAATTTCCTACCTCACTGTTTTTGCCAAGAGATCCATGAAATAAACATAAGTTTCATGGGGAGCAGTCTGTCTAGCACTCAACACACGATTGTAAGCCCCTTCCATAAATGATTGCTCCAGCTCCACAGCATGCTTGATGCAAGGATTCTCCAGAGCAGTGGCTGAAAGCAGTTCCAGTTCGGTGTGAAACTCAGCAATTCTGTTCTGGACAAGAAGTCTCAAGAGATTAAGGCCTAAAATCGGGTACTCTTGAGGAGATGGTGGAAGACGGTTACTGCTCCATCAAAACAAAAATAAAACAATTAGCATCAATTCCCAAAAATAAATGATAGGGGCTTCTAGATAAGAAATTAATAGCACAAATGAGTACACACATTGTAAGGAGTGGAAGTTAGACAATTTGTTTAAATGGCACAAGTTTAACAACCCAATTAACATGCTCATACAAGAAATAACATCCGTTTTAATTTCTTCACGTATTAAAAGTCTCATACAAGATATAACATCCATTTTAATTTCTTCACGTATTAAAAGTCTTTACATAAAAGAAAGGAGATTGCTCATCAAAATTCTAAGATGTGAATCACATATAGGAGCATGGAACCTATTCCTTTGAACTTTGGATCAATATAACTAATTATATAGAGAAGTGCCACAAGTTAAATTAAACACGGAATATCAACAACCAGGAAATATTTAGTAGTGGGTAAAAAACATCCTAGATGACCTGACGTGTAGAAAACTTCCTTTATATATGATTCCCCATACTTTAATAAATGTGCGAGAGTTGGAAGCATAGAATTTGGAAAGTGGACAAACTTAATAAGGTCCTGTAGACGAGTTCAGAAAATAGGGGATAAGCCATACCATTATTCCTCGTGACTTGGCAGCATTATTGGCTGCTTATGCCAAGCAGATTAATTGACCAACCAAAATGGCTATTCTCACAGTAGTTAATGTAGATCTGATCCAGAAGATACTACCTTAATATTAACATTTACTAGCAATATATTCCCTTAATTTTATTAAAGATGATGCTAGCCATCAGGAATATATTTGATAATGTGTATCCTTTAGACAATTCTTAAATTTCACTCCAAAACAATAGAACATAAACATTTAGAAAAGTTCTTCAATTTTTTCTGTCATCGATTTCATTGCACAATTCAGACCAACAAGTCCTTTTGGATTATATAAACCTTCTCACTTGATTTTTCTAATTAGACGAATTGTTATCATCTTTTATGAATCGCTATGCAGGGCATTACAGAATGCATCTCTTCTATATTCATCTACTTTAGGCACCTAGACAGAAAGGGTAGGAAATTTTCAACAACAACAAGACGAAGAAAACTAAGCCTAGATAGAAAAATACATACAGGAAAATAGCTACATTAAGGTGAAATGACATAATTCCTGAACTACAGAGCAAAACTTTAAACATAGCTCTGAAAGACAAGCAACTAACCCAGCATCTGTATAATAGGGCTTCAACTGGAAGAAATCCCTCTCAAAGGCATCTTGATCCTCAACCATCACACTGAGGACAACAGCATGCTCATAAATTTCCCCTGAAATATTCATTGAAAGAAAAAAAAAGGAATTAAACAACTTATAAGTTATAATCATCAAACAATTAGAGACTTAAATTCTTATTTCAAATGGTTTAAAACAACTTTCATACAGCAGCTGAAACACAATCGGATTATTAACCCCATCTATACTCCAAAAAGAAAGCTTAACGATCCCAAAAAAGAAAGAAACAAACTTGAATATTCCAAATCATATTTGAGATTTACTAATGGTCTCATAGGAGTCCTCACCCTAAACCAGGTTATATTTAGTTCTTGCACATGAAGCTTCAACTAATAAGTTACCATACACATAGCATCCTTTCAAAATATGCAAATGCTAGTGCTTCAATTACAGATGGAATAACATACAAATGAAACAAAAATGACAAAACAAAAACGAAAAGCAATTCAAATGAGTCAAAATAATTACTTGCTAACAGCAATTCATTAACCGCATCAGGTGTATTTTCAAATAACGGAGGAAGGCTCCTGAACTTTGTCAGCAACACCTGCAATAAGAAACCCAAATGGCTTGAGCAGCATTCCCATATAAAAAAATTTGAGAACTAACGAAAATAGTACCGAGCCAAATAAAATGTTCCTTTTTAATGCCTTCCTCTAGTTCCAACCTTTCATCGATCCAATTTTCAAGCTCAAAGATAGCTAATTCATAATTGAAACATCCAACAAAAAAACCCCCAAATTCCTAAACCCTAAAAAATCAACCCTCCAAAGAAACTGAATGTCTACAACATGGGCTCGATCTTTTCGAGATGAAAGAAAGAGGAACACCTTGAGTTGAGAAAGGAGATTGTCGCAAGAATCGTAATCTTTTCTGATAGATGCAGCTTTGAATCGCTCGAATAGCTGAGACACTTCGGTTAGCTGTGGATCCATCTCTGTGTTCTTTCGCGAGCTTTCGTGTTGCCGAAACAATGGAAATTCTTTTTCTAATTTTTTTCTACTCACTATTAGGCTACAGCAAAATATATTTAAGGGGAAAATCCCTTTTTTTTTTTTCAGCTTTTACCTCTGTTTTTTTTTTAAAAAAAAAAAAAATTGAAAGGAGAAAATATCCATCGTGTTTTTTTCGTTCATTTGCCAATGCATGGGATAGTAGGGTTACGATGTCGTTTTATGATTAGTATTTTAATTTAATATTATCATATTTATTAGTTTCCAAAATTAATTTTGTTTAAATTATAAATTCTATTAATTAATTATGGGGATATAATATACTCTATTATAATTTTAGTTATAAAATTTTCTACTTTAAAATAAAGTTTAGGAGTAGTTTGATAAATTATTAAAGGTTTTAATTTTTTGAAAGTTATTTTAAGATCGACTTTTTTTTATTATAATATATCCAATGAAAATTTCTTGAGAATTTTTATTAATTTCCTAAATTATTAAATGTTACATAAAATACTTTTATTTTTTATTTTTATAAATTGTAAAATGTGTATAAAATTATGTTTTTCTACATGAAAATATCATAAACTTTTATTCAATTTGTAACACTTAATTACAATATAATATTGAATTTTTTATTTATTGAATGACTCTTTTAAAAATATTATTTACACTTTTTTCTTTAAGGTCTTAAAAGAAAAATCATGCATGAAACAAATAAATGTAAAAAAAAATCAAAATAAAAATAAAAATTCATTACTACTAATTTCTATAAAAAAAAATCATTACTATTATTTTTTGACAAAACAACATTAAACGTAGTAAAATTCATCTCTCATTTATGACTTTTGTGAAATATTTATTTGTTTCAATCACTTTTAAAATTCAAATTTTGAATCACATTTTTTAAAAAAAAATTTCAAAATTAATCTATTCTATCAATAACTATTAATTTTTTTGACACGTGTCATTATTTATTAAGTTTTTTATCATGTAATTTGATTAACAACGTTAATTTTTAAAAAATTTAATAAGAGTAATTTTGAATACTCAAAACTGTCGATTATGTATTTAAATTTAAAATCTAACACTTCATCTATAATCAAAACGGCTAATGACTATTTAAGTAGTAGTTTTGCCAATGCACTATTTCAGTATGGAACAAAGGCAGAATTTTTTATTTAAATGATTTTAAACTTTTGAAAAATATTTATAGTTTTTAATAATAAGTATAGATTTAAGTTAATCCAATAAAAAGTTCATTTTATTTACTAAATGTTACTTCATTATAAAATTCATGGATTTATGTTTAATTTGAGTATTTCATGAAAATCATTTTGATAATCGTATTCATGCACTTTCAATTTTTACTCACATGACATAAATAATGTTATTCTATCATATACACAACTTAATTTAACCAAAAAAATTAATGAATTTAAAAAAAAAAAAAAAAGAAAAATCAGGTCTAAAAGAAAAATAAACTACTACCATTCAATTTTTTTTTTTTTTTTTTTACAGAAGGAAGGGGAATCAAACCTTATTCTTTAAGTAGGAGTTAAAGTTGGATGATTGAGTTAAAATTAGTGGTTTATTATTTACTTTCCTTGATCTCTAACTTGTAGCTTTTTTTAAATATTTTGATCATCTGTTCTGTTTTTGAATATACATTGGATTGATTTTCATTTAAAGCGTGCAAGCGTCTGATGCTGCAAAATACACAGCTTTGGGGGTTTGAAAGACAAATAGAGAGAAACAGAAGATGAATTTGTCATATAATGGTTTGCATGTTGACACATGCAACAAAATTGGATGAAAAAACATTATTGTAAAATTCAAAAGCAGCCATCAATCAAGTCTTTGCTAGCTGTGCTATATATCAAAATGCTTTTCTTCTATACTTGTTTCAGTTTTGCTTCTCTGCTTCTTCAGTGCGCGTACAGTTCTGTGGCAGTGTTTGCAAGGCTGGTCTTGTCTCCCCAAATGCCTGTGCTCAGCAAGAAACCAAATAACTAACACTGAAGCATTCAAAAGCATTAATATTTATAGTGACTTTGTAAAAGTAAAAGTGCACCTCACCTTACTTTCTGTTCTTCATATTGCCAGTGATCTGTAGTTTGTCAAACTTCTTGGTCAGCTTCTTTAGATTCCTTAGACTCATACTTTCCAATTGCTGCATGGTTTCCTCATCAACGATATTCTTGTTTTTCTTCATCTTTCCCAGACTAGGCTCCGTCACCTCTTTTGTACTGTTGTTTTTGTCAATGTTCTCCTTATTGTTGTTATCTGAAACTTGTGTCACCTTTGGAATTGTTGTCTCTTTCTTGCTTGAAGATTTCCTTGGTGTGAAACGAGTTAGCTGAGAAAATTGAGCTGTCAATGGTGACAATGGCATTGAGGTTGTAATCGCACTGTTTGGGAAAAGAGAAGGGCAAGGAGTCCTTGGCTTTGCAGCGGTGGGAGTCTTCTCCTCTGGAAGGATTTCCTGGGCGGCCTCTGCAAATTCCTCCACTGGCTTTACACGGACAGCAACCAATGCTTCTGCATCACCATAATCTAGCATCTTGTGAACTGGGATATCATCCTCAACAGATTGGAGGGCATTGTGGAATGAACTCACATGGATTATGTCAGCATCAGCTACATTTACATCAACCAATGCTTCTTCATCCACCATATTACGAGTCATTGGTTCTGACTTTACACAGACATCAACCAATGCTTCTGCATCGCCATAATCTAGCATCTTGTGAACTGGGATATCATCCATAACAGATTGGAGAGCATTATGGAATGAACTCACATTGATTATTTCAGCATCAGCTACATTTAAATGAACCAATGCTTCGCCATCCTCCATATCATCCACAACAGATTGGAAAGCATTGTGGAATGAACTCACTTGGATTATTTCAGCATCAGCTACATTTACATCAACCAATGCTTCTTCATCCACCATATTACTAGTCATTGGTTCTGACTTTACACAGACATCAACCAATGCTTCTGCATCACCATAATCTAGCATCTTGTGAACTGGGATATCATCCATAACAGATTGGAGAGCATTACGGAATGAACTCACATGGATTATTTCAGCATCAGCTACATTTACATCAACCAATGCTTCTTCATCCACCATATTACCAGTCATTGGTTCTGACTTTACACAGACATCAACCAATGCTTTTGCATCACCACAATCTAGCATCTTGTGAACTGGGATATCATCCATAACAGATTGGAAAGCATTATGGAATGAACTCACATTGATTATTTCAGCATCAGCTACATTTACATCAACCAATGCTTCTCCATCCTCCATATCATCCACAACAGATTGGAAAGCATTGTGGAATGAACTCGCATGGATTATTTCAGCATCAGCTATATTTACATCAACCAATGCTTCTTCATCCACCATATTACTAGTCATCGGTTCTGACTTAACACAGACATCAACCAATGCTTCTTCATCCACCATATTACTAGTCATCGGTTCTGACTTAACACAGACATCAACCAATGCTTCTGCATCACCATAATCTAGCATCTTGTGAACTGGGATATCATCCATAACCGATTGGAAAGCATTATGAAATGAACTCACATGGATTATTTCAGCATCAGCTACATTTACTTCAACCAATGCTTCTTCATCCACCATATTACTAGTCATTGGATCCTCAGAGCTATAGGCGGCTGTTGGAATAGAAATGCCTTTTTGTTCACATGAAACTTCCTCTTGTAGTTCATCAGCTACATTTACTTCAACCAAGGCTTCTTCATCCACCATATTACTAGTCATTAGATCCTCAGAGCTATAGGCGGCTGTTGGAATAGAAATGCCTTTTTGTTCACATGAAACTTCCTCTTGTAGTTCATCAGCTAAAGAATTGTTGTCAGATCCGGTGTCATCGTCAATGTCTGAATCACCGAGGAATGCATCAACAATATTTGACTCAGGAACAATTTCATTTGGATCATCATCTTCATTTTCCATTTTTTCTGATGAATCCATATAACGTTTGGGGAGAACTGAAACATTTTGGGCTGCTTTGCCATCGACATCCCCTTCAGCTTTGGGAAGTTTGGCTAGAGCATCATGTACTGCATTGGTATCACAATCTTTGCCAACTAACTTCTGGCATTCAATTTCCTGTGGAGCGTGATTCGCATATTCTTCTGCACTCCCTTCTATTGGCTCCATAAATTCTGCAGATGAAGAATGATCCAAGACCTTTTCAGAAATATCCTCAATGGTATCAGCAACCAATATGTCTATTGAATTTGTCTCATCAGCATGTGAGCCCCCGTTGTTCTCAGCTATCAATTCCTCGGTCAAGTTGTCAATCTCGTATGAGTCTTCAGATACAGCAATATTATCAGATCCTGCAGTGCGACAACCATCATTTACTAAGAGAAAACATAAATAGCAAGAAAAAAACAAAATGCACGAAGAGGGAAAACATAGCTGTCATACCCTTTGGATCTAAGATTCCATTAGGAATATCTCCCAGCTTGTCTTCACCTTCAGGCTCATCAGTCTTCTCATTAGGAAATGCATCTTTTGTATCTTTCAAGGCTGAGAGACAGTCCAAATTATCAGATTTGTGAGAACCAGCCTCAGATATCACTGTGCTATCATTTTCTTCATTGTGACACTCGCTGTTTTCTAGAACATCATCTTTCAAATCCCTTTCATCTTCAAGGGACGCACTTAAATTTCTGGCCAAAGGTACGACTGATGTATCTTCTGCAACATATATTCATGACTAAACTCATCAATCCTACTTCAGCAATGAGATAGTGAATCAAAAAATCTAAAAATTGAATGGAATTGCAAATTCATTAACACAAAGAACTTACCAGATTGACCATTCTTGTTCTCTTCAACTGCATCCTCCACCATTACATCAATCTTCACAGGCTCCATCCTTTCACTCTCCTTCAAACTCATCCCGGCCATGCACTTCTCCAACAGCCTTACTGACCGCCTCGTGCCATAGCCCTGCCGCAATGAACCTTCTTTCTGAACCTCAACTTTCCTCCTGGTCGATCCCACTCCAGGCCTTCTCCTGCCAGTCTGCAACGCTGGAGTTTCA